AGGCTAGGATCATCTCAGCAATTCATAGGACCAGAACCATTCTGTGGAGTTTCTACTTGTTCTCTTAAAATGGAGATCAAGAAATGGAAAAAAAAATTAAAGTGGAGACCAATTGGAACAACACTTCCATTGCTAGGCAGTCGAAACGGTTCATAATTCCGAACATTTCATTGACTAGAAAAATTCTTGAATTATCAAAGAAAGATCTCAGTGTCTATACTGGTTTGATAATAGGACATTGTCCATGTAAATATCATTTGAAGCTAATAGGAAAACTTCAAGAGGATATGTGTCGATTCTGTGGTATAGAAAAGGAATACTCTGAACACCTGCTATGCTCTTGTGCAGCAATCTTCAATAAAAGGCGTATTTTTTAGGATAAGGGGCTGGCAGAACCCTTTGATATTTGGAATGCACGTCCCAGTAAAGTAGTACATTTCATTCGAAATGTAATACCTGGCTGGGAAAATGCTTTTGGTCAGTCTATGTCGGTCGCTTCACAAAATAGTGATACGACATAACTGATAAAGCAATATAAAAACGGGGAATATCACAATAGATCAAAGTAATGGTCGCAGTGATGAATACACCCAACACGGAAAAAAAAATCAAACGGCGTCCAGCTTAATGGTGGAAAGAGGCACTTAGCACCCTTCACAATAGTTGTCTCAAAGCCAGAAAACTTGTTCAGAGAGCAAAAACAGAAGCACACAAAGAAGCATAGAGAGGAGTTCAACAAGAGATAAGCCAGAGTAAGTCAAACTGTTTTAAGAAGCTGTGTCGAGACGCTGATGCCAATCCCTGTGGCAACGCATACCGATTCGTGATGGCGAAGATCAGAGGATCAACGATGTCTGCTGAAATGTGCCCAGAGAAGCTGAAAGTCATCGTGCAAGGACTTTTCCCGAAGCATGACCCACCCTGGCCACCTGCACCGTACGGAGAGGGAGAGGGAGATAACGCCGCTGTAACCAGGAACTCGTAGCAGCGGCGAAAGGATTGAAGGTGAACAAAGCTCGCGGTCCGGATGGAATCCCCAACGTGGCGTTGAAAGCGGTGATGCAGGCGTCCCGGACATGTTCAGGATGGTGCTACAGAAATGCTTGAACAAGGGTCACTTCCATGACAGGTGGAAGATTCAGAAACTAGTGTTGCTAAAGAAAGCAGGAAAACCACGTGTCGAGTAGCACAGAGAGTAGCAACGGTGTAAAAAAGGTCACTTTATTTCACTTCAAACTAATTCAAAAACATCAATTTTATTTCACTAGCCTACACTTGCGTACAATTTCCACTTTCCACGTATTTTTCTGCTTGATGGGCTTTCCAATGTGTAAAAAAGGCTGACACATGCAATGAAGTTCCCTATATATCAAGGAGTACCGGAAGAAGGTACATTGCCATAGTAGTTCTCCTTTTTCTCCTTTTGGGTCTCGATTGGTGTCAATGAACGAGGGGATATGATGATTGGTGTGTGCGCTCGCTCACTCTACATATTTTCATACAATCATATAAACTCATTGGGTAGGGATGGGACCATTTGCCTGATTGAAGCGATTTGGATGGGGAGAGTGGAATTGCCCAAGGTTGCAAAGACTCATTTCAGCTAAAATAATGTTTTTCGGAATAATAAAACCAAAAGATGGTATGATGGCATGTTTTACTTGTAACTTACAAGAAGAGGTAACAAAGTATGCGTTGGAAACATAAAACCTGTAAATTTTGCTTTCTATGAGTCACAATCAGCGATTTGCTGATCGCTGAGTGAGTGAGTGAGTGAGTGGGTGAGTGAGTTTGTGAAAAATCACTGACTGTGACTCTCATGAAGTGAAATAAACAGGTTTAATATGTCAAACACATTCTTTGCAACCTCTTCTTGTATCCTACCAATTCAAAATTTGATCATGGCATCTAATTATTTCATAATTTAGAAAAACATTGTTTTAGCTGAAATGAGTCTTTGCAACCTTGGAATTGCCAACTCGCTGTTGTTAACATTTCATGAATTGAAGGTGGGCTCTTCTCCCCACTCATTGGGACATCCCCTCATATGATGGCTTGTTCTATATCGGGTTGGAACATTTTTATCATTGGAAAGAGATTCTTCGTGCTCTCGTGGAAGTGTCTCTGCAAAAAATTAGTGGTATCCATGCATAAACGAATGCTTGGGTAGAATGGTCCAAAATAACGATGAAACCAAACCGTCTTACACAGGTTTTTTTTCTAACAATCTTAGTGATCAAATGGAGGGTGAGCCTCCAGATTTCATGGAAAAGCGTTATTTTGGACCTTCCCAACCGAGAATCTGTTTAAGTATTTTTAAATGCACAGATTATGAAACTAGTGATCCCAAACTATGATCGTGTAAGGAATAAAATAAAAAAAAATGATTTAAAATAAAAGTCGCATCTAAACATAGCGTGTGTGGTTTTGGTTCAATCCCAAGCAGAAAATAACAAGAGTACTTATCTGTACCACGTTAGAGTATTTACTCACGTTCTGATGGTTCGTGCAATTGTCGAATAAGGTTTCTCAGCAATCTAATATTTACCACACTCCCTCATGTTAAAAAATACATGGCAATGTAAATCAATTCCAACGAAAATGACAAGTTATTTAAACAAAATCAACTCATAAAAATCTAAAAGAATACCGTTGGTTCAACTTACAGCCGGCAAAAGATGTTAATTACGTTTCACTTCAGGTAAATTCCTCATGCTTCCTCTTGACCTTAGAACCAGACACTCATAATTTTTATCACATGCCCAGTGAACTACATCGCTCGTTGGACATCACAATCTCCACGGTGACATAAATTAAACCTGAACGCTGAACCAGTCGTAAACAGATGGACAAAACCCGGTCTCGACTGCCCATGATGAGCTCCTCAGCTCATGCTCTCTCACCTGTCAAGAAGGTTTTAATTCTCAGGCTTTATGACATCTATGATCCTCATCAACCGGCTCCTAGGCATGTGAAGTCTTGGTGTTGGTCTTTTGTTGACGATCGCAGACGGACAGTCATCGAGCGTTGAAAAAAGGCATCGTGCTGTTTTAAATGCTTGTCAGTTTAAATAATCTCGAGAAATTTATCTGCAATTAAAATCACGCACGACTGCTGCCACGTTCATTTCCAATGCGATGGGAAAGTACTGACATCTAGAACAACGCAGCTGGAGTACGATTGTTTGAATAGGGGGCTTCTTCCGGACGGTGATTTTACTAGAAGAAGAACCTGTCATGCGAAGGTGAGATGCGCGCCGGCAGGGGGTATAATTGGCCGTTATAATGGTTTTTCATGAGAGGTAATAGAAAACTCCGCTGGAGGTCGGCCAGTGGGAAGAACAAATTACGTTTCATCATCTTGAGAATTAGTCCTAATCATTTATTCAGTCATTCCAAGCAGGAAACGCTTATCAGAGCCAGTCATTAGTTCTGCTTTTACGATCATCTTCCGTTCCGGAGCAAGTCGTGAGCGATCGTAACGCATGGCATCCAAGTGACTAATCCCTCCTTAAAATGTACTCTTCAAACACGGTAGGAATAAGTCGTTTTTAATGACGCCTCTTTAATGCCCTACATATACGAAAATGATAATTTTTCATGGCTCCCTCATCTTCTTGCACGTAAGAGGATGACGGTGTAAAGTGGCACTCTCGCTTACTGCTTCAAATGCTCATCGGCTGACGGTGGCGGCGTCAGACACATGTTCATGACATTCCTTCTGATATTTTTCATAAGCCGAAAAGTTGAAGGGATTTGAGCTCTTATCGTTCTTTCACTTCTGTCGGCTCCCTGTGTTCCTGCAAAGAGTGCGCGAGTTCATCATAAGAACCACTGACTGTCTTTCTATCTGTCTGTCTGTCCGTGTCTGTTCCATTTCCCTTGCCTCGCTTCCAATATCACTCGAAGGCTTTTTGTAAATTAAAAAAAGAAATCAGAAGAGTCTGCCTTCCCTTTAATCCCGAGACTCCCCTGATTTTTAATCTCCGATTGGGGAGGCGAACAGAAGCCCAGTGCAGCAGCAGTGTCTCCCAAACTACTCGCATTCGGCTTTCAAATTTTATTGTACGGCACCTGATAAAAGATTTCCAACCCAAGCAGAATGGTCGGAAGCACATCAGCTTCGAGGAAGGGAATTGGAAATATTTCTTTTCATTTTTTTTTTCAACGTTCTGACACAACCTGCGCAGAGCACACTCACTGACGGTATTAATCTTTTGATGTCGGCTTGGTTCGTTTGCATTTCGATGGTCTGGATGTAGATAGGCAGTCCGATGACGGGCTGGCTCCAATAATGATGCGGTGAACTGCATTTAAATACATTGAGCAATCATAACATTTCAACTCGGACTGACAGGTGTTTGTCAATATATTGTGGACTGTGCGATCAACGAGGTTGGATCGGTTCGTGGAATTCGGTTTGTTTGTAGTGATTTTTAATTTGTACAAATGATTATTTTCATGAAGCTGACTGTTCGGCTAATGGAGATTGATGAACGTGAACTGACGGTAATTTAACCTCCATTGTGCTTTGGGGACCTTAGGGCAACAACACAGTGTCTCCGAAACTTTTCAAATGTAATGGAATCTAGACAAGTGCCTCATATAAATCGGCTGCTTTATTTGACAAAATCCATAAACCGTACGAAGTGGTGACTTTAAGTTGTTCCCTTCGTTCCCTCAGCTAAACCACATCGAAACCCTCTGTAGAACATGGGAAGAGGGAATACCGCCCAGGGGCACTTGAAAATGCATTAACTTTTCAAGAAAACAGCATCATTTACACAAAGGGAACTTCATTCCTTCGTCTGCCCCCTTCTTCCTTTCTCTGAACAAGCTTTATAAGAGTAAGAGCAAAACCAGAGATACTCTCAGACTGATTTCGTTCAAATGGGAAATAAATTGTCTTGTCTTTTGCTAGCCCTCTTTATCAGCCGAGTGCAGTCAGCAGAAGCAGCAAAAGCAACGGCATTCGGTCAGCCGAAAAACCAGAGCACTTACCGTAGACGGTGAGGCTGACGGGGTCCGAAACACGCTTGCCGGCAATGTTCTCCGCAACACATGTATAATTGGCCATGTCCTGGAAGAAAGAGAAAAAGAAATCATTAAAAGAACAGTTCTGAAAAAAAATCTAACATTTGAAGACTTAAGAGATGGGTTTTCGTTGTGGAAGGACGGATGGAGGGATGAGAAGATTACACCGCCACCACCACCCGGTAGCAGCAGGGCCGTTGATACTCGTTACATCGAGGGTCCTTGCCTTTCTTTCTGCGCTATTTTTGTGCAACGATTTGTGAGAAAATGCTCCTTGCCTTAACACGCAGCAGTAGTAGCAGCAGTAGCAGAAGCAGTATGTGGGTTAGGGTGGGTCAACTTTATATGGCGGATCAGAACCTCCCGCTCCTCGCTGCTTTTCGAGGTGTATTGAGATGCCCAAAAACTGTGCAGAATTTTAGTGAATTTGCGGGAGAATTTTTTATTTTGCATTGGAGAATGTATGGGAAGTAACACGAACCTATTCATTTGCTTGTCGAAAATTAAAAAAAAAATACTCTGCTTTGAGCAAACCTCGGATTTAGCTTGGAAATTCATTGCAAAACAATTTTGTCGGTGACTACAAATCGATTTAACTTTTGTGCAAAAAGTTATTATTGTTTTACTTTAGGGCTATTGCTCAGCGCTTACCTATATGATTCTGTTTCCAGTCTCGTGGGGAATAACCTTGCCCCAGGGAAGTGTATTAGGGATTTTTTGACATTAATATTTTTGCAGATGATACTGTGTAGCAAAGGATTTAGATGATGCCGTTTTAAACTCGAATGAAGATTTGCGTTCTCCAAGTAGATGGTTGAAGTATAAGCAGTTGAAATTGAATACAAGTAAAACTAAATTTATGGTAATTTCACGGAATCGATTAAATGCGAACGTATCTGTTGGAATTGATGATGAGACTATTGATCGCGTTCGGCTGATTAAATATCTCGGCGTGATTATTGATGACAAACTTAAGTTCAACTCTCACATTGAAATCACAAGAAAATTGCCAAGAAGTATGGAATTCTATGTCGACTGAAAAACGATTTAACTATTGCCAATGAAATACAGCTATACAAATCAATCATCTCTCTCATCCAGACTTTTGCCCTTCCATTTTATTTCTGGCCAATGAAACACAAATATCGAGATTACAGCGCTTGCAGAATAAGATAATGCGTTTGATTTTGAGATGCAATAGAGTCACTTCCTCAACTTTGATGCTAGACGCCTTACAATGGTTGTCGCTGAAGCAAAGAATTGTATATTTGACTATGGTGTTCATTTTTAAAGTAGTTAACGGTTTGCTGCCTCGATATTTGTGTGGTAGAATTGAAAGAGGAAGTAACTTTCATAGATATAATACTAGAAACGCGGTTGAAATAAGAACACCACATTTCTTGAATTGTGTTTCACAAAATTCATCATATTTTAAAGGAATAAATGTTTTCAATTCGATGCCTAGACATATCAAACGTTCAGCAACTCTTACAGAATTTAAAAGACACTGCAATTCACAACGTTGAATATGTCGTTTGAACAGTAATCCAGTGATTTTTTTTTATGAATTGACAAATTATGTATCTTGACGAAGTTATCTCTAACGGATTATTTTATATGGATAGCTGTCATAATGACTTTTTAATAACTATTGTAGCACTGCAAAAACTATTTCTTTTCGCCACGATGGTGAGGATGGATTTTTAATATTTGATTTAATAGTAGTAGAATTATGAAAAAAGGAGTCTTCAAAGGTTTAAGCGTCATGCGCGTATTATGGATACAGAGGACTGATTTTAACATTTGATAAAACATGTAATTTTGAAGCTTATTTGTAAGATACCTTGAGTTAGTAGTAAGTTTTTTGGCAAATGTCGGGGGTTCGTGATATTGCTGAAAATTATGATAGCATCAGATTGCGGGGTTGCTAGTGTAATAGGATGCTTTGTTGATTGTTCATTAACTCTTGATTGATTTTAATACTTATTAATATTTTAGGTGGACAAAAAGGCGAACTAAGAGGTGGACACCTAAGCTTTTCCACATTTATATCGCTGTGAAGCAACTGTATACTCTAGAGGGACTTTATATCTGTAACTGTTACCAGTTCGATTTTGTTTGCTAACCTGGTTGAATAGTCATATTTAATTATCTTAAAGATAAATCGTCCAGCTCAAACCTTTGTAGGGGCAAGAGATGGGACCATCATCATCATCATCATCATCATCATCATCATCATCATCATCATCATCATCATCATCATCATCATCATCATCATCATCATCATCATCATCATCGTAAGTGTATACAGGGTGTTCAGTTCCTTAGTGCAAATATTTTAAGAAGTGACAGAAGATCATATTTCATGAAAAAATTTGCTCTTCGCATATGATCCGCGATGTACAACAGCGTGCTAACGCTGAAGATGCCCAAAGGAGTTGAGATCGTTGGCTTTGCGGACGATGTCGTCTTGACGGTAACAGACGAGACGCTGAAAGAGGTGGAAGTGTTGGCGACCGAGGCGATCGACATGATTGGATGCAAGGAGCTGCAGACAGTCCATTACTAAATGGAAGTGCTATTGGTCAGTAACTGTAAAGCGGTACAGCGGGCAGATATCACCGTCGGGGGCATGCCATAACCTCAAAGCGGCATCACCTTGGTGGAGAACAGCGAGTGGTACAGGCGGAGAGAAGCCGGAAGAGTACGCAAAGTTGTGAGAGCGGAGTCGTTGGTTAAGTAGCAATAGGAGTGGAACACGGCGGAGAACGGTAGATGGACACGTAGACCAATACAGATTTTTTCGACCTTGCTGAACTGAATACACGGAATCGTCAACTTCCACCTAACGCAGTTCCTGTCTGGCCACGGCTGCTTCAGGAAGTACCTGCATCGGTTCGGACACGCAGTGTCACCCCTCTGTTCGGAGTGTGGCAACGTGGATAAAACGCCGGAGCATGAGGTTTTCGACTGACAAAGGTTCGAGGCAGTGCGAAGGGAGATGCCCGTCCTTAACGTGGAGAATGTCGTCCATGAAATGTGTCGAAAGGAAGACACTTGGAATGCCGTCAGCAGCTGCAGTGAAAATGGAGAGAGAAACAGCGATCTAGCAACATCAGAGCACCCGATGAATATTGACGAGATGCCGCTTCAAGTTGAATACCGTGATCACTTTGAATGTTTTTCCATTTGCCCTGCAAAGCACAGCATTCACAACCACGTTTTGTCCCCTTGTCAAGCTCTGCCGAAATCTTTGGATTTGGATTATTGTTTATAACACATTTGCACTGCCATCTTTATCACGGAAGTGAGTGTATAAACAGACAAACAGTGAATTGTCAACATTCTCACTCTCTCGTGCTGTGTTTAAAAATCTCTCCAGTGGTGCCAGGAAAAATCACCGAGGAGACAAGCAGAGATTCACCCCAGAGAATGATATCTCTTGCACCCGGGTGATTCTTCCCAGAGAATTTTCAACACTCGAGATATTCGTTCCTGCTCGGGATGACAATTGCTCTTTGAACGTCAGTGAAGATTCAAGAAGTACTCCAAGATCTTTCACAGTGCTCTCACGTTTTAGAGAGGTACCACTTAAAACGTAGTCGTGGAGGGCCAGCGGTCGTTTACGCCAAAAGGAAATAATAGAGCATTTAGAAGCATTTAAGACCATCAAGCTGCAACGGCCTTTAGTTGTTTGTGAAGAAAGAAAGCGTCACTTCCCGAGCAGGAAAAAATAACTTATTAATACTAAATTCAGGTATGGAAATAGCATAGCTGGCAACCTACATATGGTATAAATGAGGTAAGAGGTGGTAAGAGGTAAAATACTAAAAAATATTCTACTAATAACGAACTAATATAAAATTTAGTTAATACAATAACAGACGGATAACAGACGATTTATTAGATGCTAGAATACCATGGCTTGATAATTTGAAGATCTTCTAATACCAATTTAATAACTCCTTTAGATATTATTGTCTAAAAACTAAAAGATAACAATTTGTTATTTTGGTATTCATTTAATATTTTACAAAATATTTCGATTACTGATTAATATCACAACAAAGTTTTATACCACAAGCAAACCGAAATAAGCTATCGGTTGCTGCTCGGGTTGGTTGGTTGGTAACATAATATAGTAAGATTTGTTGTGGCATTTACGGACGTTGTAACATCGTTCATGTATAGTAGACTGATGCAAAATTTGAAATTTTCGCTCCACAGTGTTCAAACGGTTTCAAATCGGGTCCTGATTTGCCTCCGAAAGTTTAAACTCATTTGATAAGAAACTGACTTGGCACAAATCATTTGAAGTTTATATGGAAATTACTATGGGAAAACAAAACTCGTCTCCTAGCCTTTTTACATATTGAACTGTTAACAAATTCTATTGCTATTCTTATGGGAATTTTTATCAGCTACAACTTTGCAGGAAATCGTTTTTCAGCCAAACGTCAAATTAAGTAGTTATTAATTGTTTAATAGATTGATAATCTTATGGCAAGATTAAGCAACTGTATTGAAGGCAACACTGTATTCTGCAGTGTGACATAGTAGCCATGATTTTTGTCCTCTATTCACTGAACACTTGATTGAGCATAATCATAAGACATCAATTACTTGAATCATTAATGATTTTTATTCCATACGTTTGAACGAAAAGTGGTCTTGGACAAAGTTGTAGCTGAGAAAATTTTCAACAAGCTTAGCTATCAATTGAGTGAATTTTGGTGAATTTTGAGATAGATATGAACCGAAATTATGGTTTCTCCATAGTAATTCCCATATAAACTTCAAATAGTTTTTGCCTAGTCAGTTTCTCACTAAATGAGTTCAAATTTGGAGAGGCTAATAAGGGCCCAATTTGGAACCGTTTGAGCACTGTGGAGCGAAAATTTCAAATTTTGCATCAGTCTAATGTATAGCAGGAAAAGGAATGATTCTACCTTGTGGTACCCCGCACTTAACTAGAAACACATAACATATGTGGAACTTCATGCAAAACTACTGACTAAAAGTTGACCCCTTTTTTGTGTTTCCTCT